TGCGCACATTCTTTATCAGATTCCGACGGGGTTGCCGCAAAATATGACGTACGATCGTATTTGCAGAATAAGTATTTTTAAGGCGCATGCCCAACATTATTCTATGTTTATATGTGATTGCCATACATTTTATTTTTACGTTTTATGAAATGGCGCTTGTTGCCAGCAATTATTATTTAAATGAATTTCGCATGTCGGGCACGCAGCGTGACGCAGCGTTTTTATGAATTTATTAACATCTGCTTATGACGAAAAATTTACACGTAATAACAGACACGAAAGGAATAAAGCTTCGTTCTCGATTTATGCTCAAGTTATACTTTTACAACGACCTCATCATGTAGTCCGCTCGATTGGCCATAATTTATCACCTCGCTCGAAATGAGCAATTTTTTACTGCCGCATACAGCTTATAAAACATTTAAATTAATATAAAATTGCAATAAAAAATAAATTGTTTGAATGACATAAAGTTGTAATAATAATTTATTTATTTGAATAATATAAAATTGAAATTAAATTGCTACTTATGATCGTTACATTTCTTAAGAAAAATAATGTAATTCTGCGCATTTATATATTCATAACGCAGTATAAATAATCGAATAGCTTTATCGATACATGTATGCGTACATATATATTGTATATACATTTTATTTCGTAAAAGTATAAAGAAGAAGTATGTGTTGCCATCTACCAAAAGAATCGTAAACTTACTATTTCAATACAATATAATTCAGAACAAGTTCAACTTTACTAAAATATTAAAATTGCAAAGTAACTCAATAAGTTATGAAATATTAATCGCCGATAATTTTTATATTATATTAGTATATTAATTCATAAAAATTATAAAAATTATTTTTATTTTATTTTTATTTTAAAGCTAATAGTTATAATGTTATAAAATGTATAATTGAAATTTATTATCATTATAAAATTATAAATATTTTTATTCTTCGCATATCGAATTTAATATATTTGATAGATAGTGTATTTTCAGTGAGAGTTCCTCAATTAATATTACAAATTTTATTTGTTTTATATTATGTCAATCTGTCATTAATTTTATTTGAAAGAATTTGTATTATATCATATAAATATATTCCACATTTTTACATGTCCTGCATATGAAGGAAATTAAAATGTTCGTGTATACAAATTCTTTCTGTATATCATATCATCTTACTTTACAATATGCAACACGTGGAGAATCGAATTTGGATAGTAGCCAGAAATTTTCCTTAGAAGCTCAAATACACGTTTATCTCAGAAATAATGCAATTATCATTCGTTGATATCCAGACGAATCTGAAAATTTGTAGAGAGTAACGAATAGTTCCGCGGAAGTTCGCTGATGCCAGAGCCCAGATTTTTCTTCTTTCTTTCAATATTTTATATCAATATTTCATTAAAATCTATCTATTTTATATTTTTAATTTATATAAATTTCCTACAATTTTCTATTTATATAAATTTATATAAATTTTTTAAATATTAAGAAATGCGACATAAATGTTTATTAGATATAAAAACATCATCATCAATTATATCAAAATTAATGTGCTATTATATTATTTTACTTTCTAAGTATTGTATAATGGAGTACAATAATATATAATACAAGTATACCATGCCAAAATTTATAAATTCTTCTTAGACACAAAAGTTTAATATATCAATTTACCATATAACTTATTATTGAGAATGTTTATTATTAAAAATATAAAAATTATCATATTAAATTCAATAAATTGTGCACATTTTTTGACACTATATTAAATTATAAATATCTTTTATAAAAATAATATTTATTTAATTACTGCAATGAACAAGTACAATGTATTTTATCTGCACTGATTAACGCGCTACAATAAAAATGTTTTAAAGAAGTATTTTATATGGTCTGCTGTATTAATTTAGGATAGCTCCAACCAAACGACAGATCGGGACTGAAGGGCGCGATACGTTCGAGGGGTTGATGCGTAAAGGAGAAATATACCGCTTACCACCTAGCGACGCCGGTATCGATCAGCCCCACACGCGTACGTTCTAACTGCGTCGAATATTTGGCGACGAATATCTCGATGATTATCTATCTAGATTGGTTTATATTTCCTTTAAAATATGATAAAATCTTTTATAATTATTTAAAATACATGTCTAGCTGATAAACACGCGCCTTTCTAAGACTCAAGATATTTTAGGGTGCATTTATTATATTCCAAGTATAATAAAAACATAATCTAAAAACAACTTCTCTTAAAGTTATATTATATATAATATTTATACATGGAAAAGAAAGAGATTGTATTTTTACATTATTTTAAAGAATGATACGCGCTGTACTTATATAGTTTGTATAAATTATATTAAATGAAGACAAAGAAGATACGTCGTAGAAATTTTTTTATTTTATAATTAGAATTATCTATGCTAAAAAAGTTGTTTTATAACGTTGCAAATGGTGATATTAATTAATTTTATTTATTTATATAAGTAGTATTTAAATGGACTATTTCCATGAATAAATTAATACATTAATCTTTTAATATATTCGTCTACCACATATTTAGAACATTTTACGACAATTACACTTTATTTACAATTCTTTGTATAATTTATGTTGGATTGATGGAAAAGCATATTGTTTTCTTATGCTCTGCAGAATTCTTTATTCATTTTTATATATAAAGCTCACAATAAAATTTGTGACGTGAATTTTTTAAGAGAGAGGGCCTAGCCGGGTAAGCATGTAAAATCCCCCGCATGTATCAAGTCCAAATTGGTATCATATATTGGCACCTATGAGACACAAAATTCCTCCAAGTCTCAACCTTGAAAACGTATTTTTGTAGGAGTTATGGAGGGAGAAAGAAAAATAAATGCAATTATTGATTTGTGAGCGGCGAGGGGACTCACAATAAAAAAGCACCCCGTAATATAAAAGGCGAGGAAAAATATATTGTTCATTATTACATATAAATATAAGTTCTAGATTTGCCAACAACGTTGCTGATGAAAGGCAGATAAAAAAGGGTTGTTTCTGAAAAAAATAGTCGGCGAGAACAGAGTACCATAACAGTACACAGTTACACAGTGTCCTGAGTACGATTTTTATTTTTTTTCACTATGTTGCACCACTTCAAAAAATTTGAAAAAAAATATATGTTGAAAAGGACATCTAAAGGAATATTTATAAAAAAAATGGTGGGTGTCAATATAAAACATAACCTCAAAAATAATTTTTGAAACATTCAGAAATTTTTTTAGACCTCTTATTTTTGTCCAAAAATTTTTTTCAAAATTTCTTTTAAATTGTCCCATTGACCTACATATTTTTTGCTTATCAAAATCGGTCAAGCCATTTACGAGAAAAATTACTTTTTTATTTTTCTTTCTCCTTCCATAACTCCTACAAAAATACGTTTTCGAGGTTGAGACTTGGAGGAATTTTGTATCTCATAGATGCCAATATATGATACCAATTTGGACTTGATACATGCGGGGGCAGATTTTACATGTTTACCCGGCTAGGCTCTTTCATTAATATCTTTTCAAAAAATAGATTAGTCGATTTTAAGTCTGCTATTAATGCAGACAACGATCGGCTGAAATATTGATTAGAGCCAAAACACGTTCTCTGTATTCCAATCGTTAATTTTATCGGTAAACGGCCGTCGATCACCCATGACATTTTGACATGTACATGCATCGGTGAAAGGTCATACGCGAAAAACGGTCTACATTTTGCTATTATTACATTAGTAAAATAAGAACGCGCTATATAAACGATCATGAGAGAAAAAGCCAAGCGGACGAAAATGGCAAAGACGTGAATTGCAACGAAAAAAAAAAAAAAAAATTCCCGCCCCGTTGAGCTGCAATGTGCATGATTATTGAGTTCAAAAGACTTAATGCACAAAGGCTGCTCAAGGCTACAGCCTGCAGGAAAAATAAATGTCGCGGGAAAAGAGAAGAAAAAGAACTTGTATCTTTGAAATGAAAAGATGCGCATTAATTTTTGGATTACACTATTTAATCCAATATAATATAAAAAACAATAAAATCTGTTTTTGCAAAAAAATCGATCGGCAAAAGTGCCCTCGACTATATCACTTTATTTCTGTAACACAACTGACGTTATTCGGTAAGAGAGATTTAACAAGGTAATTCTTACGAGATATATATATATATATATATATATATATATATATATATATATGTATACTAAGTATGAACTACTGTATGAACGATGATTCCGAATATATTCAGAAACATCGTTCTTACATCATTCTGTCTGCACAGAGCCATTCAATCATAACTGTTGTTCACATAAATCGTGCAACGATGCACGTCTCATGCATCTATTGCTAGACAAGCATTGTATAACTCCATATGCATTAAATCAGCAATTCAAAAAAATTGAAATTAGTATCGAAAAAAGCTTATGTAGCGTGTCAAATACGTGTTTGAATCAATTAAATAACTAGAAAAGTATCTTATTCTAAAATTAACGAGACAATAATAAAAAACAAGATAATAATAATTATTATTTTACTTATTTGTATTGATATTAAAAATATCTTTGAATAATATAATAAATTTATTTACATTTTTAAGTGTCGTAAAAGTTATAAAAAAATATAAAATTCAAAACATTATCATTTTCTATAATTTACTCGAAATATAGGATTAGATTAAAAAGATTAGTTATATCACACATTAGATAAATCCAAAATACGTGTATAACTTGCTTTATCCTAATATCAAAATTTTTCCTTACATCAAACACGTTTTCAACTATTACCAGTGCGGTCGTGCGTGCTTCAGATGGGTTGGACATAGACTATGGCAATCCTCTTGAGACTTGCAATTCCCAAATGTAATTCTTGGTACTTTTAGGATAGGAAAAAGATACCATAAACGAATACGAAGTAGCTTATTTCTAAATGGAAGTATTTTATTCTTTTAAAAGAGACAAAAATTTGCAAATAAAATTTAGTTAAATATTATTTTATTTTTTAATATGTTATTTTTGCATAGACGCTTAAATACCCGTTTAACAATTTTAGATTATTTATGACAGAAAAAATATATTTGTTAATAAACAAAGTCCGGAAGAGTTCCGCTTAAGTATAGATATTTACATATACGCGCACATATGTCCGTACAAAACTCATTGTTGCCGTTTTGACATCTAATTCTAAAAATTACAAGCATAGCGGTATGTCTTGTGACCTCTTCCTATATAAAAAAAAATTATTCATTCGAAAACAAGTTCCGGAAAAATCATTTTATCATAATATTTTTGTATAGACGCTTAAATACTCGTTTAACAATTTATTACAGTCGACCTTGTGTTTGGTGCCAAAAAATACGAGTTATTCACCAAATTTGTTAGAATCCAGTAATTTAACCTTAATTCAGTTTTATGTTATCTAAATCAAAAAATAAAAATAATTACTGATCATATTTCTAAATTATTCATATGTATAAATAAATTTAGATAAATAAACGTGCAAAAAAAAATGCGTACATACATTTACAATTAATAATATTATAAAATACTTACATTTTGCTCTATTTTTATACGACTAATCATCTTTTCTTATGCATTTTGTATTTCAATAATGATCATGATGATCTTCATGATTATCTTCTGATATTGGTTGATACATATTGAAGAATGCTATGCACCAAATGCAGAAAAATAGCAATAATAGTAGCCAAGTTATAGTATTAAATTTGTCCCATCCGAAAATAATATGATGGATTGAATTTAGTTGACGTATGTGCTTATTTGATTCCGAACAACAAATTGTTGTACTATTTTGATTGCTCGCCATCACGTCAAATATTCCTATGTTCTTCGACGACTAAGAAAATATTCAAGAAGCAATGTTCAAGATCCACGAAGACCATTAATAAATGGATATCGTATTAAGGAATAAATTAGATTAGATTAGATAACATGTGCTGATAATTTTCAATTGGTGATTGTAAAAAATGTCCATTTTGTAGACATGCGTTTATCTATTAAGGAAAAAAAAATTAATTGAATTAGTATCAGAATATATGTAATAATTATTTTGTGAGATTATTACTAGATTGGCAAATATTAAAGCTAGAATTTAACTCAATATATTACTGTATTTCTTGACTAAATCAAAATTGTTGTATTGATTAATCTCGAAAGATATAATCTACATAATATACAAATACATACATATACAAAAATATATACATATATAACATATATTATTAGCTGAATTTATACAAAAAGTAATATATTATAATTTATCGTTCAATAAATTATTAAATTTTAGTTTTTTAGAGATATATATTACGAGCAACACTCTGTATTGCTATTATTAGTTTTTTCCCACGCAAATAACCAATATCCGACAGCTGTTCCAACTCCAACGGCGATACAGAGCCAATAGTTATATGTCATAAAAATAAACATGATAAAGTAGCCAAGAACTACCTGAATTACGTGCAAAAACGTTTGAAGGAAATGCACTTTGGAGAACAACAATACACTGTAATAAAGGTGTAATAAATTATGATGAAACTGTAATAATTTTAAAAAATATTAAAGATTACACACACAAATACATACTTTCTGGATTCCCTCTGGTTCTTCTTAAAAATTTCCGTGCGCGCGAAAAGATATTCGCTGCAATGCATACGAACGCATGATTGAGACTGCACGTATTTATGCGTACTTAATATTTCACTCACCGGTAAGATTTTAATCCTTCATATAATGTAGTTAAGAGAATAATTCCAATGACGGAGCTAATCATTCCTGACACATCATTAATGTACCAGCCATTAAACAGAATCGTCTCCACGACGCCGCCATGGAATGACATTCCCATCTGCATATGCACAATCATCGTAATTGCGATAATCATAAATAGAACGAATATATACGTACGAAAGGAAGACCCCAACACTTACGCCATGCATTTTGTATTAAAATATTACTGACATAAGGTAAGAGAGTCAGCACGGACTATTATGAGATTTTGTCTCATGAAAAATATCACCTTATCAAATTATAGATATCATATCGTATATTTATCATGTTTAAAATTAAAATGCTTTTATCGGAATAAATATTATAATACATAAAATACATATTGCTTTTTCTCATTTTGTATCTATAAATTCTGTTTAATTTTTAAGATGAAATTTGAACTTAAACATTTATTGCTAAATTCTCTTTGAGATAATTTCCAATTAATTAATATTAAATATAAATAACAATATATGCAGTAATAATAATAATTATTATAATTATATATCAAAATATCAAGCTAAAAAACAATACATGAACAATGTTCAACCTTATAAAAAAATGATTAAAAAAGAGATTGTTTACTTTACTTTACGGCATCACTAAAAATAGCATGTTGTGTAATTTGTATTATCTTTTTTTATTTTTCGTCATACATAAAAGAAATATTATACTGTCTCTATTTTTCGAAAAAAATCATAAAGTTTCACGTATTCGATTCAAATATGTTATGTTTGTATCAATTTTTCTTTTATGGGGATTTTAAAATATGTATGGCGTCACCAGCTGTGCGCTGTACAGTTTCCGACTAAAAAAAACCCAGATTCAAAAGGGTAACAAAATATTAAAGATATATCAATTTTATTAATTTCTGTTATTCACTTTTTATTGTGCAATTTTTAATATATATAATATAAAATTTTCATGCGTTCACAAAAACTAATAAAAAAACTGATCACTTGATTTATTATAAAAACCCAGGTTTTCTTCGATAAATAGCAGTTGAAAGTTACAGAGTGCATGTAATATCTGTAAAGTAATACGTTGCTAAATAATTTCTAAAACGTGCAATTTCATTCTGCATTAATAATAAATTTGATCACAAAGAGCAATTACGATTATTAAAAAGTTCCTATTTCTATACTATCCATCGATGCTTTTATGTGTGAACATTTTCTCGGGTAAAATTCAAGTTTAAAATTGCAACGTCATGATGATGCATGTTGCTCGTGGTTACATACGCTGGACGAGTGGAAATCGACGAGTAGATTCGATTCGTGTCGCGACTACGTGATATCGCATCGGTGCGGCGAGCTAAATCCCTCCTGGCTCCCGGTCGTGAAGGGCCAAAGAGTTCTGGATGTTAAGTAAATCGATTTCTCCCCTTTCTCTCCGGTTTTCTCCCCCAAGTGCATACGCCACTAGCACAGGCCACCCCTTACCCACCCGACGATCAGCCAAGATGCCTGCCCTGCGTGAACGAGACGAGCGCAACCTGTGGCTGATCCTGACCGGCGCGGCACGGCGCGTCACTCTCTCTGCTCCGAAAATTCAGCCACGCTCGATCCTCAAAGCGCTCCGACTTCTCAGTGCCATTCCTACCGTGCGGCCGTCTGCGTCGTCAGCTTGTTGCCGAGGAAAACCCCGGCCCGTCGACGTGCGCAACGTGCGAATCATCGTCGACGGCGGCGATGCGCGTCGGATGCGGGTGCATCATCATCGCTACTACGAGGGACAGATCGCGCGCGGAGCGTCGCGACGCAATCTCGGGGGATGATTGCGAGGGATGCCGAGAGCTGTCGCGCTGAAACTTTCATTTTTACGATACAGCGATCGCAAGCTTAACGAGTTGACCGCATATGGCAACGGAGTGCGAAAAAAGGATTGATACTGTCGAGGAAAGAGGTGACGGCTAGACCGCGAGTGAAAAAGAACTGCGTTTCTCGATGAAGAATGTGTAATTAGCGACGTTTTGTGATTGGCCATGATGAACAACATCGGCGAGAGTTCTTCTCACATCGGATGTCGGATATTGCTCTGATCGATGTTGCATGCAAGAGAAAGGTAAGTTTCTTTTTCTCTTTTCTTGTGTAGTTTATGTTGATTTAATGTTAAATGTGAATCGTGTTATATGTAAGATGCATACAAAATTTCTATTGCGATATGTTATGCAAAATCAGTGAGTGCATAAATAACTAGTTCGTAATCAACTCGTTCGTAATTAAATTGATTATCATGGAATTACAACACTTATTCGTGTGAGATAGTATTTTGCATTTATTAGCGTTCTTATCCAAGGATATCTCTTGCTAAAGAGTTAATATTCTGTTACGAGATACTCTGTTAAAAGAGATTGCAGCTTCTTAAATATACAATACACGTATATTTGCATTTGCATATAATCATCATAAAATTGAAAATTTTGATTTATTTTTATAACAATATAAATCCCTAAATTAAATATATAAACACAATTAAAGTAGACATCTAAATAAAGTTAATACATGTATATTCAGTTAAAATATTCAGTTAACTTTCATGGATTGTATTTACACACAAAAAATTGAAATAAGTATATCTATTTCTTAAGAATATTAATTTTCTAATTCTCATATATATGTGCATAAATATTGAAAATGTATAAGATAAACTTTTTAATTACTTATAATATTACAGTTTATAATTTTAATTTTGTTATAATTTGATTATATATGTTAAATGTTATAATTTATCTTATAATTCCAATTAATTTTTAATTCTTATTATTATTTTAATATTTGCAAATACATTTAAAAAAATTCGAGAAACTAGTAACTTGTTGAAAATTACTTTTGCTCCAAAATTATATCTTTCTATATTTTTTTAATAAAGTCCAAGCTGTCCAAGACAATATTTTATACAATGCAATACTAAACAAAACAATTTTCTAACGCAAGACTATTTACGTAACAAGTTAGATGAAAACCATTATTACCACATACATGTTCGTAATAATTAGCATAAGTCGGAGCATAATTGCTTTATGTTTCGCGTACAGACCTTGACACAGTATCATACTACGTCCATTTACAATAACATTTAAAAACTTTAATACGTTCTGATAATTTTGTTCTTTATTTAGTATTGCTCGACAGCAAAAAATAAGTCACTTGTATATTATATGTCATTTGTTCGTAGATATGTATTTTATATTAAAAGAATTATCAAATATATGTTATTTATAAAATATATAATTATATATAATTAATAAACAGTTTCAAATTTTAATTATTGTATTTGAATGTTTATGCAAAGAAAGAATATAATCAATTAAATAGAACAAAGATAACACAAGTCATTTTACTATAATATAATTGAAAACATTATACTAAAGTACATATAAATGTACGAAGTTTATCAAAATTACAAAGAAAGACTCTAAAATGTTTTGTTATAAATATTTTTCTCATTTTTTTTTACTTTTAGTTCTTGTTATGAATAATTATTTATTCTGAAAGTATTGATCCAATAATGAAGCTTGACAAAAATAACTCATCTTTTCCCTCTGTTGCAATAATTTTTTCGAAACAGCTTTATTAAACTTACGAGGAAATTATATAATGACATAATACTCAATTATGTTGCAGATTTAAATTGGTTGGATGTGTAGCGACCTTTCACAAAGAGAAATATATTAGCATCGTATTTAAAGCTAGTCAACGATATCGGATATGCAATAGAAGACTGATTTATTATTATAATTTATAAAAAAAATACATCCACATTGTGAGCTTCTTATAATTACGTGGCATTATACAAAGCTATATATTTGATTCAGAAAGAAATAAAACTTCCGGATATAACGCGATCTTATAATAGATCTTTCTACTTTAAAACAACAAAAGACCACGTATAAAGAAAGTATATGGAATATTATTAATTTTTATTAAGTTGCTGCACTACCTCAGTGACAACAAGCATATTTGATTGCATTTGCCAGAGCATCACATTCGTCGGACATTTTTATATAAAACCTCTCATAGTGACGAAGTAAAGTTGGTTGTTCATTCCGGTAAACGCAACATATCGCAATATTGGGACCAATGCACATGCTATCGATATAAAATGTTCGTATATGTACAGGCATAAATTTGCCGAAGTAAGCCTTACCTGAGAGCTACGATTAGCGAAAGTAGCGATATAATTTTCGACATGAGCATTACATCCAGTATAAGAAAAGAACGATCGATACCGTTGTGAAGACGGGAGTATTTAAAGATGGCAGAAAAGGTCTACAGTTTCTACGTTTATTATCTTATAAGTGTATGATGCGAAGATAATTATAAGGCGCCAATTATTAGCGCAATCTTGAGATATGTCACTTGACAAACAAAGAATCTTGAGAAACAGAAGAAGCTTCTTCCGTGCATAGTTCCGATTTTGCCGAATAGTAAATCGGCAAAATAAAAGAGGAGATAGAAAAGTAGAAAGAAAATGCCGAAAGGAAGTTCAGGAAAAGATAGCAGTGAGAATATCCAACTAGAGCCCTTATCTAGGACCTCTAGGCAAAACGAATCTGCGGACACCACAGAAGACGTAAAAGAACCACTAAGACGTAAAACATGTGATTTAGGTATGTATGATAAAATGTATTATTTTGCTAAGTCTTATTAAGCTTTTATTGCATGTAAATATTTTAATGTATGTATATATTCACGCGTTTAATATGTGCTTATGTGAAATGTATTATAATACATAATATATAAAAATATATATAAATTATAATATATAAAAAAAATTTGCGCTGTGTCCATCAAAACACAACTGATGAAAAACAGACTTTTATTAAAAAAACAAAAATTATAAAATAAATTTTATTGATAATTTGTGTATAAATAATAAGATTGTATGTATTAAGATTATGAATTGCATAATTTTTGAAGAAAAATTATTAGTTTAAAAATTATGCTATGTATGTGTTATCTATGTATGTGTTGTATATTTGTGATTATCAATATATATATTATATATAGATTCAATTATAATATACGATTCGGCGTACTTACTTGTGTAAATCAAGTTCTCACTTTAATGGAAATCAAATTTGGAATATTCTGAATATATGTATATGAATTTTGATATAAATGTAATTTAAGGATAGCTCTCTTCGATTCTCTCGCGTGTTCACTTAAACTTGTATGCATTCAAATTCGCAAATTGATGTTCTTCGTAACTAGCTCACTATGCAAAACTTTCCAAATTTACTTCCGAAAATCTAAAGATAGATATATTATCTTAAGAAAAAAGGTTAGCTTTGCGATCTTTTCATAGTATAAATTAGTACTGAATTTTTTCTTATAGCCTGTGTATTTAATTCATTACCCAAAGAAGAATTTATTACGCGCAACTAATAATACATATTACAAAGTTAAAGTGACTAAGAAAGTTAAAGTGAAAAAGATTGATATAAAAACGCCGAATCTTTTGAGACGCGTAAAACTTCAACGAACATATTCTAGTCAGAAAGTTCATGAATGTTTCATTGTGTTTCGTCTACTGTCGCGGAACCCGTTTAACCAGATACAAAATATATTTGGTAGCAATGCGAGACTCACGACGACCAAGGGAAATATCTGAATAATTTACTTTGTACAATACGTATCTTTTTTGCAATTGAAAGATTTAATCGTAAGGAAAGAGCGAGGATAAAAGCACAAAGGGTCATAAGTTCAAAAGTTCAGCTATTCATAGACACTCTCTCCCCATCAATATTCGTCAATATTTAAATTCTACTTTGCATATTATTAGCTTTTAAACATTGGCAGATATCGTGAATGTGTAATTTTAGAAGCGTCGTAAACTTTTAATTCACATAAAGGTAGTTCTTTTATATTTTAATCACATCGATAAATAAATCGATAAATTCTTTGCCATATAGTTGCCATGTTATAAAAGTTTAATAATTTATATTTTATTGTCCTTTTTTATTAGCTACTCTTGATATGAAAAAATCTAAGATATTCTATAATATATAAATCTAATATATAACTCTATAAATCTTCTATAACAAAATTCGAAACTTAGAAGGTTTTTAAAGGAGATAGAGGATTCAGTATATACAAATGAAGAACCTTTTGTCTGTGATTCGATTTTATAGCTTGTACTAGCAATTTATTATGTATGCTGCAGTTTATCCTATTTAAATTAACTCAGCCAGTATTCTCGCCTTTGCGGTTTTTTATAAAATTAATTTAGTTCTAGATAAAAGATAAAAGACATATGGTTTACGCTTAAAAAATTGAATCTTTTCCTGAAAATATTGTCTCCTTTTATTCTAATACGGAAAATTTAATTTTTTCTAGGTTAATTTCTCTAAAATTAAGTCGCAACTCATAAAAAATGCTTCTTTCCAAACGAAAAGCACAAATGTTATTTCAGTAGACTGAACGTAATATGATTGTGAGAGGGGTTGCGTAGAGAAAAGAAAATCGATACGATACCCCTCTAACGAATTCTGATCCATTCGTACATAACTGGCCTTCGAATTTGATCTCTCGAAAAGAGTCTATTTTCATATATAATGTAATTATGTATATTACACACTCGTTTTTCTTCTTACATAATATTTGCAACAATCTCTATTATTTATTACAACTTAAAATTATAAAAGATACAAAAATGAAAGTACATTCATATATACAACATTATTAAGTATCCATTGCACATTTCAATACGTATTAGAATATAAATTAAGAAAAATTATTACTATTGGAAAAATTAGTTCTTTTAAAATTAAAATATTAAAAATTGTTGAATTATAAATAATTTTAAAAATTAAAACATTTTTCGTAATTTGAAAACATAATTCTATACAGAATTCTTCGAATTTCTGTATGCATGTCGTAATGTCAAAAGTATATTTCTCTTGATCTAGGGCGGGATAAAAAAGTAAAACTCTTGTGCACGCCATCACGAACCTTAATTGAGTTACCCTATCAATATTTCCAAGATTTTAAAGCAAAATGCACGTAAAGAAATGATCTTTTGCTCCTCGAATATGAAATTTTTACCACACTTTAAATGTCTGACATAGTCTTACTTTACTCAAGTAGCAAACAAATATTTATATTATTTTTATAAAATCGGCATTAAATTCATCAAATCTGTAAGATCAATTAGTGCTTATTCTCAAAGGAATTAAAAAAAAAATATCAGATCAGCATATCAACATAAATTCTCATGATATCCAGCCAGTAAAAAAGTTGCAGTAAAAAACAAATACACGTATTACGGTTAACTGCTTCCACGACTGATACCAATACCACAGAAGGGTTGCAGAGGGTGAATCACGGATGGCGCCACCGTGATGGCCATCCACCCTTGACTGACGAGGACCCAGCAAAACCACCCCCGCTACCAAAGCAATCCGCCACCAGGGGGTTTGGAAAGTCGCCATTTCTGCCTAACTCTGCAGTAGCTATATCCAACGCTTTAATGCCAATGAAATGTCAAGGAATGTCGCGCGTTATAGACTCGCCGATGGTGTCGGGCTACTTGGTTCGGGTCTTATAAGCTCGCGGACCGATAATTTCCCGCGGTTATTGCCGGCAATAGTGTTCACGGAGTCCTGATTCTGGTCGTGTTTGGTGCGTCAGAAACGCCTGCGTTACGCACGAATAAGCGCATCCACGCCAATCGAGTGCCGTGAACTTACGCGGCTCACACGCCGTGTTTCACCCCTTGGTGTTGCTCCCTTGAAGGATCTCGCGCATTCGTGTCTCGCGCGCGCTATCGATGATCCATCGATAGAGGATTGAGATTATCGATTGCGATCTGTTAAAAGTTGCATTTACAAAAAAGGTGAACGCGGTCAAACGCGGTCACACTGTTCCATTTTATTGGCACGACGATCGAATTTTCCGATAGCAAATTTCATAAATTTTGAGCCGATCATAATTGATGCGATTCGAACGACTCTAGCATCTGGGAGTATTTGCCGGTGAATCAAATTTTTAACGCCGTCCATTAAAATCAAAATTCTCGATTATCGGAGTCTTTAATCTTGAAGACACGCTCGAGTGGCGAGAGCCCAATCAAGGGAGAAGCTACGAAACGACAATCAAGCGTCCACACGAATACTGGCTGAACAGAGAGAACCGCTTATAAAAGTCGCCTATGCCTCGAAAGACGGTCAGGTAAAAGAACTCGTTCATCGGAGACCGCCGAATCGGTTCGCGATGAGCGAGCAGGATGTGGACGATGTTGCTTTTCTGACAGGTGAGATCCTCTAGATAGCTAGCTCGAAATTAGAATGCAATCGCGTGCCTTTTAATGTGTCCGTCGTCTCTTTGATATTTTTAGCTCGCGTCTGCGTTACACAATCCCTTTTGCATAAGAATGGGTCGACTATATGGCCGATTCGCAACCCTCCGAGCTGCGAATAGGCTATACAAGAAACACGTGCGTACGATCAATAAGAGGGACGCTTCCTATGATCCCGCGAATTAAAACGCGCCCACCTCGTTCTCGGCCACGCTTGTATCACAACCTTTGCTGACCGTTTATTGAGACCCGCTTATTGACAACAAAAATAGATACAATGTTTAAAATATATATAATATTGTATTCTAAAATATACGTAAAATATACGTAATATTATTTAGTGATACATATTGTGTACATATATTTACATGTAGTATATATATGTGCGCGACTATGTAATAAAATATTGCAAAAGTATATACATGACAACTTCCTATTTTAAATAGTTCGTTCTTCTCTTGAAGAAGTTTATTTTTAAAATACAACTTTTATAATATAACGACTGAATTAATTTCTAACATAAAAGGAACAAGAAAGTTCCTTATTTTTTAGTCTGTTGGAATATTCAAAAGTAATAAGCTTATGCTAAATATATTATTTGATATGATGTTTTACGTAAAAATGTAGAAAATATTAAGACATGTACACACATAAAAAGTTATTTTTTTAGTTTCAAAATTTACACAATTTTAAATTACTTTTAAAATAATTATAAGAACATAAATATAGAGCCAAATCTATATACAACGTATTTATATTTTTTTTCTTTATTCTTTTTACTACAATATATAAAGAATAAGTAGTAAAAAATTTCTGAAAAGTTTCTGAAAATTTGCAAAAATAAATATAATAAAGAAAAAAATAACTACTTTACTTATATTTAAAGTATGTAGAAACAATATATTCTAACATAATATATAATAATTTACCCTCTCTTTATTTATATATATTTACTAAATTTTATAAATACTTTTAATAAATACTTAAATAGCATAAATTATTTTAAATATAAGTAAATATATAAAAAATACAGTATGTTAAAAATATTATCGGTCTCATTTTCATAAAATGCAAACCAAGTACACTAGCGTTATTATGCGTAGCCGTTCAGCAATTTAAAATTCAGGTCAAGACTGTAGCTATGAGAAAACCGAACTTATTGTATGTGCGCGCGTCAAAGTATCACACTTTAGAGTCCGCGATACTCTCGAATATAATATATAAATTAATTTAATTCTATGCAGATAAATACAAATTTTTAAAATTTACAATAATATAAGATAATAAAAATTAAAAATATATTAAAATATTTATCTCTATCTTGTATTTATTATCTCGATCTATACAAAAATAAAAAAATCACCTAATAAACAGAAATTATTAAATTTGTGATTAATAGTTACGTGTAAAATTTATTTAATCAATTATTGAATAAGTCATTATAACAACGTAATGAGTATAACGTAATGCTGCTAGAACGTTGATCTTTTTTTTAGGAAATTCTTTGTTTCAGGAGATAGCAATGCAGGCTTACACAGACGAAATTTTTACGAGCGTGCAAATGAAGTCGTTAGATGTTCTGAAAGAAAAACTTACTGTGTACTTTGTGTCTGTTGTTTGGTACTTCTCATTACGTCACTTATCATTGCCTTGGCGCCTTTACGAAATGGTATTTAAATGTCAAGCCTTTATTGTCACTCAAATGTTATCTATAAATTTAATTAAAAAAAATAATTATTAATTTTTTTAGGCTGCACTTGTTCCGAAGAAGAGTCCCGTAAAATTGTAGATGATGAAGAGAGCGCCGTGCCTCGAATGGACAATGGAGAGGTGCGCATGTTTCTATCTATTATCACATAAAAACATTAATAATAACAATATTAAAGATACATACATTTTGTTCCATATATTTTTGTAAAATTTTATGTATACATTGTTTAAATTAAACTTTATTAACCGATCAAATTAAACTTATTAACTGATCAAGAATGTCATAAAATTTTAAAAATTTATTTATCTATGACTTATGACATAATTATAAAAATTAACAAATTAAGAATTCGCGGTTTAGAATATATATGTTTGAACATATGTTAAAATGAGAGACAAACATATATATACGATGTAGCATAACGGAAAATCAATCAACAGATATATTTTATTTGTGACAGTAGATATCTCTTTCTGCTTATTAATAATTCATATTTCATAATAATTTATTCACGCATACAGATTATCGAATATAATGAAAAATCTTGCAGGTGTTTCCATGGGATGACATAAGATTACCTTCATTCGTGCATCCTACTAGGTACAATATTACTATGCATCCAAATCTTACCACTTTAGAATTTAGAGGTAAATATAAATACAGCTCTATGTTGCAACAAGAAACTCATTTTCTTTCTTCTTATATTTAATAAATTCATTGTTTGTTCTCATTTGCAGGACAAGTCGCGATCGAATTCTATGTCGATGAAGAGACCAAATTTATTGTCTTCCATAGTAAAAATTTGACAATACAGGAACAAGTAAGTCATAATTTGAGAGTTATGATGTTATGTCAATGTTCTTGTTTTAATTTTCGAGAATCGGCTTTCAGATAGTCAAAGGCGGCGAAGAATATATGAAAATTGGGAAATTACTCGAGTATCCGAAACGTGAGCAGTTGTATCTGGAATTGAAGGAAAACAAATTTCAAAAAAGAACCAATTATACGCTATTCATGAGGTTCAATTCAACGCTGAATTCCACTGATTTTAAAGGATTCTATGTCAGCAGCTATCTTATCCCTGGAAAAGAACAGAAGTAATTGCAAAATTAATCATTCTCTTTCTCAAATGCTGCATATATATGTATACATCATTCGTATGAGTTGCTAAATTTTTTTTTCAATCTTTAGATATATAGCGACAACTTACTTTGTGCCGACATACGCGCGCATGGCCTTTCCATGTTTCGACGAGCCACAATTTAAAGCCAAATTTAAGATATTGATATACAGAGACAGATTCCATATTTCGTTATGCAACATGCCAGTGATAAATACTGAGGAAGCCGGATTTTACATGGGACAAAATCTCGTAAGTGTGCATTTTCTTTTCATAATGACGCAATTTAACGTGGCACAAAGCACGTTTGATCAATATTTTAAAAGTGTTATTAATTTTTTCTTACTATCAATCGTAAATATGACAGTTCACGTCATATTGCAATTATGATATTGCCTGCGAGCATTGCATTTACATCAACCTGATCTAGAATAATACTACTTCTCAGTTACGTGACGAATTTCAAGAATCTGTGGAGATGTCAACGTACTTGGTAGCCTTTGTGGTATGCGAATTTAAAAGTGATTTCGCATTAACCAAGAGAAATACGTCTGTGAGCATGTACGCGCCAGCGCACATACTTCCGCAAACAAAGTATGCCATGATTACTGCCGCTCGTATTATGGATTACTTTGAATCTTTCTTCGGCATACCTTATCCTTTGCCAAAGCAAGGTATACGCTCTTCATACAAAGTATAAAATAACGTAAAAATTATTTATATATATATTTTTAAATATATATCATATTTGATGAGATTCATATTTTTCTATCCTTTATTATTCTCAATTTATTACCTTTATTATTATTATCATCTCAATTACCATTTATTTATTAGATCTGATAGCAATTCCCGACTTTGTGCCTGTTGCAATGGAAAATTGGGGCCTAATTATGTTCCGAGAATCATTTTTGATATACAATCCACAAAACACATCTACCGAAACACAAGAATATATGACTGTTCTTATGGCTCACGAATTGGCTCATCAATGGTTTGGCAATCTCGTTACGATGAAATGGTGGAACGATGTCTGGTTGAACGAAGGAGCAGCAACCTTCCTCGAATACAAAGCCGTAAATCACATTTTACCGGAATGGGGCATGATGGATTTACTCATTTTATACAAAACGCAACGAGCGCTCGAACTCGATGCTCTGACCAATAGTCATCCAATAAGTGTACCCGTTGAAAATCCTATTGACATAGAAAGCATATTCGACGCAGTTAGCTATTATAAAGGCGCTTCAATCCTTTACATGCTAGAAGGAGTTTTATGCGAGAGCGTTTTCAAACGCGGATTAAACGATTATCTAAATTTACACGCATACGGAAACACAGAGACCAACGATCTGTGGGCGGTTTTCACAAAGCATATGAAGAGTACTAACACATCTGTTAATACTGAGCTTGACGTAAAAGTAAGTATAATGCGTGGGAAATATTATGTCGTACACGAATTTTTACGCATATTTAATAACATTTAAAAAATGTCTACAGACAATAATGAACACTTGGACTCAGCAAATGGGTTTTCCTCTTGTAAATATCATTCGCGAAGGCGATACTATCACAGCGACTCAGAAGAGATTCCTCACTTCACCAGGAGATGATAAAACAAACATTTCGCAGCCCAAATCACCCTTCGACTATAAGTGGTATGTTCCGTTGAATTGTTACACAAACAAAGAGCCTCCGGATCAACTCGAAACGTGGATGAATATGACCAATGGTAATATATTCAGACGATTATGTTAAAATTACATATTTATTCAATGTCACGTATATCGTATTTATTCATTATTATATATTTATTCAGTGTAAAATATATATCATTTTCTTACGCATTTTGACAAAGAAATTAAGACACATATTTCATTCACTTAGCATCTTTTGAAATACCGAGCGACGTCGATTACATCAAATGCAACATCAACCAAACCGGCTTTTATCGAGTTAATTATCCGAAGGAGATGTGGATGTCAATCATTAAAACATTAATGAAGAATCATACCAAATTCAGTCCGGCAGATCGAGCGAGTCTCATCGACGATGCTTTTGCACTTTGCGATGCGGGTGAATTGGATGCTTCAATCCCACTGGAACTTTCACTTTATCTTGTCAATGAAACAGATTACGCCCCGTGGGAGACTGCGCTTCGATATTTAAACTTCTGGAAAAAAAGATTAGGGGAGAGTGAAGCATACAAGAGATATATCTTATTCTTTAAAAACCTATTGGGTCCGATCACAAAATACATCGGATGGAAAGATGAAGGATCTCATTTAAAAAAGTTAGTACAGCATTTAAGCATATCATGTTTACATATATGTAAATTTCCAATGATTTACGTAATGAACAAAACATAATTTTAAATCATTTTGTTATATTAATCCAGATTATTAAGAATCACAGTAATGAAATCCGCTATCGAACTAGAAATGGATGATGTTGTGAAGTCTGCAAGAAATCTTTTTAAAGAATGGATATCGAACAGAACACGCATCGCGCCCAACATACGAAATATCGTTTATATGGCAGGTAAGGAAAATATAATATTTGTAATAATAGGAAATATTTACGACATTATAGAAATATATAAATATATATGGCCAAATGCAAATGTATTTATAGGTGTCAAGTTCGGAGAGGAAGCTGATTGGCGATATTGCTGGCAAGTCTATCTTGAGTCACAAATTCAAAATGAAAAGATAATGATGTTGCAAGCTTTAGGCACTGCAATGGATCCTTGGTTACTTAAACTTTATCTTCGCTTTTCACTGAATCGTACGTTAATTAAGGCGCAAGATGTTAATACTATCATAGGATCTGTCGCTGGCAATCCACACGGACATTATCTCGCTTGGCGTCATATTAAAGCTTATTGGCCGCAAATAGAAGACTTATACGTAAATGAATCGCTCTCGATAAGCGATCTCATACGTAACGTCGTTCCCGACTACTTTATCACAGAGTACGATTATCACGAAGTAAGTAGAAGTTTTTTTTTAAGTGAATAAGAACAATCGTACTTGGTTTTTTAATTGTGTCGCATTATTTTTAAAAATATTTTATATTATTATTTATTGTATTATTTCTCAGGTTTCGGACTTCTTCAAACAACACGATGTTCGCAGCGGTAAGCGCGCACTGCAACTGAGCTTGGAAATGATAAAGTTTAACATCCACTGGGTGAAAATAAATGCGCAAAGTGTGAATGATTGGCTCGTTCAATATTTCACCGACCTGAATCTTGTGAGTTAACCTCCGCTCGTCAGAAATGGAACAAGAATGAACCGCAACGAGCATTCAGCCATTATGCAACTATGGCCAATTTTTCTACTCGTTCTTATTTATACGCGAAATACTCCTAAGATATACGTGATACAGCCTACGAAAAGTGAGACTCTTGAGGCTTAAAAGGTAAAAAGAATCTCAATCATTATCTTAGATATAAATTTGCAGATCAAAAGCCAACCATTTCCGTCAGCTTTGTTAGGGGATCATCTCCGTCAGGCAAAGCATAGAACTTAAAAGGACAATTCTTGTACGACAAATTATTTTCCTTGAAAAGATACTCTCGCGATTGTACAAAACTCATTATCATAATTTGCCTGTGCTGAAAAGGGTCCCTTAACGAGCATAAATAAAGCCGAATTGTTTATATGTAATACATTATACACCGATTTATATATACGCACTTTCGAAAGTATTTATTTACCGTGCACGCAGCGCGTGCCGCGATCGGATCATTAACAATAAGTATAAAACAAGATAATGAGAGCAGAAACATCGTTGTTCCTAGGGTAGTCGTTAACCTAACGTTTGGCAAATAAGGGCTAACGACGTACGCCTATTGACATCATATAAGCTTTAGTCTCCCAAGTTCACTATATTTTATTATAACAAGAAGCAAATAAATGGAGTAATATTATCTCCACGTGATGTTTAAACTCCATTTCTATAAACCATCCACCAATAAATTATTACTTTGACAGGGAGAGTTGAGCTTGCGGCAAATTTGTCGAAGAAAAAATGCTAATTGTACGGCTTTATTTACAGTCCTTAGATAAGTAAAATTTGCGTGTAAAACTTGCAGTATTTTGCAGACGCGTTTAGAATTAATAGAATTATCATGAATGTACGAGCGATCGTTTCATACGTCTAAGTAAGTAGCATATCAATGTACGGCAAAGAGGCGTGATACGCTAAATTGCTCGGGTCTGTGCCTGTGTCTCACAAGCACCGTCCAATGAAAAACGAGACAAGACGATATATAAAAAAAAATTCGGCCGCGAGTCATATGGAGATGTATGTAAAAAAAGATTGATGTACTCCGTATCGCGTATTCGTATTTGTTAGAGGTTGCTGGAGGCGCAGGATACGTCTCGTGTGGAGTTGATTGTTCTCCATGCGAAGTAGTATAAAAATAGAAAATTGGATATTTTATTATGAAGAAGTAAATAAATTTGTATAATCTTAATAACGCTTTATACATATATATAATACATATATGTATGGTGTGCACGTATTAGAATAAGAGAGACGTGTGTCCCGTGTTTGATGAACTACTTTGTAAAAAGTCTAGACGCTAACGCAAAATGTCAACCTTAAACTTATCTAAGAATTCTTAAACATCATTGTTTTAGGCCTTTAATATTGAACAATATTTAATTAAATTACGATATTGCGATTAATGTTCGAAACAATTAAATTTCTGTTATATTTCGATCCGCTTATCATTTTTTGATCGTACAATTAACTGCTTGGACAATAAACGCCGGAAAATAGTGAGATATATTAACGAATATTTAACTATAGTTAATTAATTGCTTTAATTAATTGCTTTAACAATGTAAATTGATTTAACGTTTTATGATTAAGGCTTAGAAATCTAGATGTCTATTGTATAAAACTGAACGCATATATACGGATATACAAAGACTCGAGGATCTGCAAAGTGTTTAACAATTATATAGTTGCAAAACCAATTGTAAAACAAATTCCTGCTTCGATCGGATAATGTCAAATTATCCGCAAACACTCATATGCTATCTGTTCTTATTTTTCTAATATTTTTCACTGCTATTATTAGAAAAGTAATTAACTGAATTTGAAATTTGCGTGTGTTCTTCTAAACATTTTATTAAAATTGAAGCACTTTGTTAGTCAAATAAAACACATGTTAATTGTCACCTTTGAACACATAGGATATGGCGTATTTCTATAGTTTCATACCATAAATCTTTACTGCCATTCGTACTTGCCATTACTATATCCACTACAAAAAATGGCATTCTCTTAATATTTAATAATACTTATAATTATAATATATTTTTATTAAATCAATCTATTAAACGGCGTGTGTAATTCTTTACATTTACAAGATTTACGATTCCATGAGCTAACTAAGGGCACCGCACTTATACATACCAATACATACGTACACAACATCCTAGCACATGGAAAAAAATCTGTAAATATAATGACAACATGAATCATTTCATCGTCCCATTAAGTAGATTTTGACACACTCCAAACGGCGAATTAATGAATCGACGCACAATTAGATCTTACGTGTAAATAGCATATTTTTTCACTAACGGATATTCTCTCTTGTTAAAGAGTTAGCGAATAGTCGCTTCGGGATTTTTAAAGAAGCGTCTGCTCACCGACTTGCACACAAGATGCAAAACAATTGGCCTATTTTAACATTTTTACAACACTCGAAAGTACTCGTGTAAGTGTGTACGTGATTTATTCGTTATTTACATATTTATTGATCAAAATTATAATTGTCATTAGATCTAAATTATTTCTAATAATGATATTCAAATATTATATAAATATATATTTTGTAGTTTGTTAGTTTGCCTTTATTAAATTGTATGCAATATTACTTAATTATTTAAAATTCACTCGATTTCTTGAAACGCAAGAAACTATGCACTCATTACATTTTGGATCTCATTACATGTTTTACTTATAAGTTCTGCGTTCACTTTTGTCGCATTTTTGGCTGTAGATAAGTAAATATTCGTGTAAATTTTTACAGTTTTTATCTAAACAAAGTTAATATCTCTCATCTTTATTTTTTACATCTTTTTGTTAACATGTAACTCTTGTTATAGATTTTCTTTATAAATATTGGATCGATTTTGACTCAATAATAATTTGAATTTTGTGATAATAATTTACTCACGCATTAATCACCGATATATATTTTATGACAATTAATATTAAAGATTTTGGACAGAATTTGACGCAATATCAATTCTTTAAAACTTTGATTATAAGGATAATAACTTGATTATATAAGCATTAATCAACCAATATTTTATAAAAATTGACTAGATAAATGATATGTTATGAACAATAAAGAAAATGATTTAGAATGTTCAAGTTTTATTTTCGTTATGTAGATATGCGACAAATTTCTTTATAGACATTGAGTCTTTTGTGAATTTATTTTTTATTTTGTTTTTTTCAGTTTAAATTAAAATTTTGATTTTCTGTAATGTTAAGATTTATATATGGCTGAGAAGAAGCATTGATAAGTACATTCTCCGTTAAAAATGTGTTTCTTACTAAATATATTATTTAAATATTTAATTTATATGCTGGTATAACTCTTTTTATTAAAATTAGTTAAAAATAAATATTTTATTTTTACAAACAATACTTTTCGTCATGATTCATTAGTCTTACGTGAGTGAGTGATTTATCAAAACGGATACCGTCGATGGTTACACAATGTCGATATTTTATTTCTCATTTAAAAAAAATTCCATTATATCAGATTCATTGTATGTAAGACAGAACAAAAAAAAATATAATATATTGAAAGACTGGATACCATAATAATCAAGAGTATATACTTATGTATTTTACGAAATCACGACATAATTGCATCATATAAGAGAACAAAGCTGTCTTATTCTCATATTTATACATATGAATGAATTAATATAACAGTATATTGTATACCGTTCTCAACTGTATTGTTGTCATAGATATTTTGTTGTATAAAAATATGAGATATGTACAAGCATATAAATGAATATATTATATGTTTAACGTACCACAGATGTGTGTGATATGTATTTGAGATCCCAATTCATTCAGAGAGAATAATTTAAAACATGATAGATCTGTGAAGAAATCATAGATGAGGAAACCAAGAACATAACTTTTTCTTTTTTAAAAATAGATATAATAAATATTGTAATACTCTGTAATTGATCAAATGCTTAAATAGACCCCTTTACTTTATTGACGAATATCATACTCGACATAAGTACAGTAAAAATTTAGATAGGTATATATTTGCATATTTATATAATAATAATATGAATAAAATATAAATATAATAATAAATAAAATATAAATTACAATTTTATAATCAATTTTCGAAAATATTAATTCGTTTGATAAATTTAAAAGTATGTGTCAAACAATTGTTCTCTTAACTATTACTGCAACAAATTGTTATTGCGTTGCCTATAAACAGATTCACAACCAGTGCCACGTGTTTGCTGGAGAACGGAAATAAAATTGACGATTGTCGCGCCATCGCTAATAATTTTACACGTGTAACACTAGAATACGTGAAGCATCTACTGCGCAAAGAATTTTTTATTTTTTACAACGTCTGTGAACAATAGATGTGATAAAAGAAGGAAGCAGTGTCTCTAAAAATAATTAAGGTATGTATCTATATTAAAGAAAAAAGTTTCATCAAAGTATTGATATTCATATTGCACATAATAATATACTGTATCATTCTTTACACACAACAGCGTGCGTTTAAAATTTATTGATATAGCTGCAACATTTAACACACGCACACATTTTTATAAATTTCCTATAGTCGTTCTACAAAATTAATCGAAATTAATGGTACTGATTCATATTCAAAATTCGTTTTGTCGGCATTTCACATAAAATATTACAAACGATAAAACTATGTCAAAGCGACATCGGGTAAATTTTTCTTAAAGTCAAGATTGAGATTCAATTTCATCGGGAAGATACGGGAAAAAGGTTGTGATGGTGAGCGGCGATGATGAAAGTGTCAATCGTGACGTGCACGGCGTACGCAATGATACTTCGTTGCAATCGCCACGCGAGCATTGACAGATCTGGCTGGTCTCGTGACGGAGCAGCAGATTCGTGATAACACGTGTGCAAAATAACAACTAGATATCGATGTCATTTTTGCAAGAGAAAGAGGCATGTTGCTGTCGGAGAAATCATCGCAAACGCGATCATTGCTGAACAAGGCGTCATAGATGAAGGCCGTACATCAGGTGAGAGCGTAAAACGCTCGTATGTAAATTATTGCTCACGCACAGGCGTTAAAGGCGTGTGTGGAAAAACGTAGCAACGATGCCACGCGTGAACGAACACGTGACAGGGGTTAAAGTTCGTTATCGTAAATACGGTCGCAGATATGTTGCAACTTCGACGTCTCAAAAGACGATAGAATACGTCGCTGACAGATAAGTTCTCGTGAAAAATCGAAATAAATCAAATTCTAATTTATAGAGCGGCTTTTTATAAGAATATACTACTTTACCAATATACAGGGTGTTTCTAAAACTATGTCAGAGATTTTAAGAGCGTATTCTAGCAGGGGTCAAAATAAGAAAAAGAGTTCCTATAAACATGGGTCCATAAATGCTTTTTCTTCGCATCTAGCCATCAAAATTGGGAGAAAAAATTAAAAAATGTATTAGCTTTCGAAGACTTTTTCACAGACCGCTGAAATTTTGCATAGCTTATATCAGTATACAGTACTCGAAATAAGTGATTAATTAGCGTTACTAGTGATAAATTTCTGTAAGGGTTGTTGTTTTATTATCTCATTCAAATGCATCGCGTGAAACTTTGTTAAACATGGCAATTATCTTTGAAAGAATTATATACGCGCACGCACCTATATCATTTAAAGAGAGCCACGGAGAAAGTATAAATTGTTTTGCGGAAGATGAAAATTATATATCGTAGAGAGTGCATTACGCACGTTTACTTATATACATACCGAACTATATATAAAATATACATGTTAACATACATTCTTGCTATCTATCAGATGATCAGTGACACAACTTTCAATCCGCGATATTAAATTTACAGTGAATACATCATGCTTAAAATTAGACTGCTTGTTCAGCACTAAATAAGATGTAAATATGTGAGCCAATTATATAAAAGAAAATAAATCGCAACCATCTTCCCTAATTATATAGAATAGAGGATGAGGTAAATTGCACTAATGCATACTAGATATTGTACATATACTTGCGCGTAATTACAAAGAGATTGAGCTTTGCGTCACTTTGCTTTATGACTCGTAATCAGGCCAACAGACGATCTCTCGTGGCAAATCCAAAGTCGCATATATAGGAACGTATAAAAACAGTGTACGTGTCACTTCTTCGTTGGAGCTAACTCGTATTTTATATTGCGATATAGATTTTGCGCATAATAGATATATATTTTAATCGTACGACGCAAGTAGAACCGCGTGTGTCCGCATGACACGATGGTCGCAAGATTTGCATCGAATGGCAGGAACGTATTTATCCTGATAAGTTTCTTGAAACTCTTGATTTTAAAGAAACGCGGCGTCTCTTCTCTTAAAAAAATTTTTTAAATTAAGTCTTAAATTATTGATTTTTTATTAAAATAAAAAACTTACTGAAAATTGGCTATATAGAATAAAAGATACATATCTATACATGCATGAAAAGAATTTTCGCTTAGAATTTAAAATCATAATAATCGTGAGACAATAGAATATTGAAAAAATTTTATAAGAGATTCTCTGATTAATATTTACCACAATAAAAAATATTAATATGTATATAGCAAATTTTTCTATGTATAAATAGTAAAATTAATATTATAATTATGATTACTATGTACATAGTAAAATTAATCGAACATATTTTATATCTTATTGGAATAGATATTATTTTTTATTGTGGTAAAAATATTAATCAGAGAGACTTATAAAATTCTTTCAATATCATATTGTCTCACAATTAGCATGATTTTCGAGGTAAATTCTAAGAGAAACTTCTCTCTATGTATTATTCTTTTCTTTTGTGTGTGTTTACAATAATAAATCATTGCGCAGTATCCAGATTTTAAAACTCTAATATAAAGATAAGTGTCTCTGATTGTGTGTGTGTAATAATATATATATATATATATATATATATATATATATATATATATATATATATATACACACATATATACGTATATATATAACAATCTATATAATGCACATCTCGTAATAAAAATATGTTACAAGTAGACATTGTGTAAGAATCTATATATTTTTCCATCGTGAGCAAACATATAAAAGTAAAAGTATAATAAAAAATATCACTGTGTTATATAAACAGGCATATGAATATCGTGACGCAGTATCAATCATTATCCGTTACTGAGACTCATTATCAACGCGGTGATTTTGCATTTTCATCGACCTATGTCTACTTATACAATGGGGACTAAAGATAAATAATACAAAACTATTTACCAGAGTCGAAAAGAAAATTGCATTCACGAAAATTGCATTATTTTTCGCAATTCTTTCCGAGTTTGATGTCAACAAATCATATATGTATTAGTGTATCCGATTTTTGAAATCTCTTTGATCAGGCATAATAATTAATTAATTTAAAAAATTTTTATTTTTTACACCTGAAGAGATTATTAATTATCGTGAAGGAATTGTTATCACGAGAATAATATAACGAAATAAATCATCGATAGAAAATGCTCCGCTAAATAATTGAAGAAAGCGCAAAACTGACAATTATCGGACGCGAGCGATTTAATAATAAGAATAAATTGCCCGAGGCAATTCGCGCCATTGACACATCCCTGACAAGCGCGCGACGTCGCGTTGAAGCGCGACTGCTGAGTCACATATCGCGAACGATCTCTCCCGGCAAAGGTGTACGACGCTCATTCGGTCGGTTTCTCCGCGTTTAACGTGTATGTATACAATCGTCTCGCGCATTCGCGCAAGTGTTTTGTACGACAAAGTGTAAAAGTGTCGATTTATATATGACATAAACAGCGAATCGCCGCGCATAATTCGCGGGCTACTCGCACATATCCGTTTCGAACTTTGCGATAAATCGATAATTTTTTCATTTTTTTTTTGGTGTGTGTGTGCCGGTATACGTATCTATATAGGTATATGTATACATATATTATATATATATGTATGACAGATGAGTGTCATCGGCAGGGACCTGTCAAATTCTTTGTTCTCCCCGCTCATATCAAATCGCAGATCGCAGCTGATTCGCATGTGATGTGTCACGCTTGACGCATCTCGCGCAACACGCGCTGCCTGCGCGATTCGATACTTCGATAGTGTCCGAGCGAGTGCCGTCGACTATCGGGAGGTGCTGAGCCACTTGTCAAACGGAGTATTCGCGAGGCATGCGTGTGCGACGCGCGCGACTGCACTGTAGTTTGTGATGTGATTCGTGCGTTATTTTGAGGTTATTTCGGTCTCGTGTAACTGACCTAAGATACCGCTCTTGCGAGGGAAAAGCGAGGATCTTTTATTTTCACTTTGACTCTACGAGCGACGAGTCGATCGAGACTCTTCCCTCCGGACTTTTAAACATTGAAAACGGCAGGTGACTCCGGTGCGTTCTAACCTTAAAAACTGATACTCCAGAATCTTCGAAATGTGTTTTGTCGCGTGAACAGTGAAATATTGTTGTTCCACGAGAAGATCCTTTATTTTCGTGAGGACAGCTTTGCATTATTTACACGCAGTGTCAACAAATATCTTCGGGAATTGCATCATCTGTTCATGATGTTAAGTCTATTATTTGTACTTAACGAAGACAATAAACCACTGTGACAACACTTCAAGATATATAGAACTTTGTTTTTATTTGTGCTGATTTAATTGGAACAAGCCAGCAAGATGTTGTGCATAAAGAAACTGTATCGGGAGGAGCTGCTGCAATTGGCATTGTTGCTCTCCTTACTGCGTGTGGATCCAGAATCTTATTTGGGTCTGGACATTCAAACCCTCAACGTAGGATCTTTGGATCTCAATAATGGATCAGGATGGCACACCGATCACACAATTATCCATCGTCCGATGTTTGTGCATCCAAAAAATCCAGATTCCATGCTTCTAAATTACCAGAGAGATCTGTTTGAAGAACTCAATTCACTAGGAAGATACAATAGAATGAATTCTGGTCTCAACGCTATACATGCTTATCTATTAAATGTCGATGAATCTAATAGAGATGCATTGGCAAGCTCCAGCGTGCCTGTTTCAACCAATACAACAAGAAACATGACGTCTCCTGATCCACCAACCTCTACACAAAGTCCTGCAGAGCCAGTTGGTGCAACGGAACTCACTCAAGAGGTACATTCTTCAATTGATTATTAGCATAGAAATTTATAACATATAGATACAGCAAGGATTAGTATATACTAATATATATCATAGGAATTGTACATCTTTTGTTATCAAATCTGTTATTTGATATTCTAATTATTATGTATAATCAAATTTTTCTTATATTACAAGATCATGCTAATCTTTGTTTATTTTATTTTGCTTTTATTGTATAATAAGTACAATGAGAGTGACTACATATTTATACATATAGAATAGATTATGTATGATAGAGTACTAAAGAGTAGGTATTCTAGACATTTTAAAAGTCTAGATACTTTTTGGTATCAATAAAAGCATTTTTTTTGTTAATTTATTGTTTATTTCAAAGAATATTTATAATTTATAAATGTAATTATTTATATAATTTATATAATTATAAATTTATAATTATAAATATTCGTGATGTGAAGAATATTTATAATATTGATCAATTTTATTTTATTATCAATTTCACAGAAGAGCATAAATATTTTATATTACAATCTTATATATGTATAATATCCATCCCCTATAATATTTTTCAACCAATAACATAAAAATAAACAGTCTCATGACGTAAATTCTGAGTGCGTAAAACTACATGCACCAATCAGATTTAAAAATAATATTTGGCAGTGTGTATCTGGAACATTATTTTTCTTTGCTAAAAGCCACCGAATTAAAAAAGCCAAAAATAGTTGTAAAAATGTCATTGCGGTCATTTTGAAAGTAGGTACCTGTTGAAAAGAGAACGCAATCACTCTTTATAACAGTATAATCACACATCATGCAAATGACCTCACAAATCCTTGTAAACAACCTTGCTCTGTTCGTATAAATATTCTTTGACTTTCCTCTTGCTTTTTTTCTTGCTTCTTCAAAATTAAATTAACTTATATATCATTTTAATCATTTTATTAATATCAATTTAATAAGTTTCCTTGCAAAATTTTATGTGCTATTTATATAATGGATGATTATGTTTATATTTGGATCAGATTTTCTTATCATAGTATTTTATATACTTATTACAAGAAATTAAATAGATTATATAGATATAAAAATCCAAACATTTGCATATACATTATTCTTATTATATATATATATATATATATATATATATATATGTATGTATGTATATATATATATATTATTTTTTATTTACAAATGTATATATAAATGCATATATATATTTAATGTTAATTTCCTTTGGAATTTCATTCCGTATGTTATTCGTTATGAAAGAGCGCACATTACACACTTAAAAAGCAAAAGAAAGTTTATTAACTGATACTATAAATAAAAGCGCGTGTAGAAAAATAATAACGGGTTGATGAATCACAAACTTACTTTTCTTTGTTTACATATTTCGAAAGTGTGACTGCATTTGATCTTACTCCGCTCGTTTCGTTTATATATATATATGTTTGTCTATATTTTTGCCTCGATCTTTGCCAAGTTCGCATATACAAAGATCAGTTCTTTCCTTTGTAGGACAATGTCCTTGTTATCTATACTGACTAATCTGGGTTAACTAATTGCGAATCTCTCCACATGGTAGCCTTTTTAGTAGATTTAAGATCTTTCGAGCTCATTGATCGCAATGTCACATTAAGATGAACAACTACGCACGCACTTATATAATAAAAAACACATTATCGTAACTGATATCATCGGCAATAATTAATTGATTAACCTTTTACGTTATGCAATTTATACGATAACATATATCATGTTTTAGTAAAATTATTTATTATCTTCAACTAATTCTGAGTTTTTTCACATAGAGCTTATATTTACCTTGTGATTAGAACGTCCAACTTTAAATCCCTAAATTAAAGTAAAACTTGAAATATAGTTGTATCTGTTAACGATTTATCATATATATATATATATATATATATATATATATATATATATATATATATAATATATATAATATACAATAATATATTTGAAATTTTTCTTCAAGTATTTTAAATAATAATGATGGTAGTACTTTTTTGAGATATCTCCGTGTTATTAAAATTTATAATTTAGATTTACTTATTTTTTTGAAAATAATTGATAAAATAATTATATGAGTATGAAACGTGAAACAATAATCAAAATTGTCATAGGAAAAAATATAGTAATAAACAATATTTTTAAAATTGTGCGTATATGAAGAAGAAAAAAGCATATACTTAATGTACGCTGATTTATCAATTAAAATTATATTTCCAATCGCAAATAGCTTTCATGTTCCTTGTAACCTTGTAAGTACTGATCAAGCATTAATTAGCTATGCAATTGATTCGTTCAGAATAGAACTAAATTTGGTTATCAATAGAATTCTGCAATCTTTGACTGAGATCAAATTGAGCTGAGGTCAAATCAAGCTATGATAGCATGCATATGCATAAGTATTCTTTTTTTGGATTATTTTACTATTTATAGTAAAAGCCTTCATATGAAAACTGACAATTTACGTTTGAACAAGGATATTGCTGGCATTATCGATTTACGATTATTAAATGTAAAAATTTCTGCATATTTTAGTGCACCAAATGTAGAAATGTTTGACGGTATTGTAATGACTGAGAAATTGAATTTAAATTTAATAACCTATTGTTAATAAGTTATTGACAAATTTATATATGCGCAATTCAAATTTTAGATTTTTATTTTTATAATGTAAAATTCAATTTACATAAATCTGAAAAGATATTAAAATATTAACAATTTTTTTTAATTTTGAGAAGTTGTAAATTGTTCAAAGTTCAGAAATAATATTGTTTATTAATAATAATTATCATAATGTGTGATATATTTGAAATACAGGTGATGTAATAAGTCAGTAAAGCTATATTTTAATAATGATGATTCCTATGTCAAACTCACTTTTAAGTGGAGTATTATTTCGCAAAACGTGCTTATACATCAAATATGCTTGGGCATCATGATAAGTAAGCATTTCTTGGGTCGAAAATATTTCTGAAACAATATAAACCTTTGTACTGAAAAAAGTCACGATTAATATGATACAAAAAAAAATATAAGGAAACATTTTTTTTACATATATTTTGTATAACATCAGTATATCACGTTCTTACTCTATATTTATTAATTTACACAACATATACATATACATTATTTTTAAATTTATAATTTTTATATTTGTGACATTGGTAATAGATTTCATCGAGCTTTTAATCGAAATCTAATCGAATAATATCGAAGTTTGAAAATATATGTTTATAAATTAGAGTAGATCAAAGGAATTGTTGCAATGATAATTTTATGTAACTATTTCCAAGTGCTGTTAACTAAATGCGACGAAAAATATACGTAAGTGTATTTTCCGTACATTACCGAGAATCGTCTTGTTCCAAATTAAACATCTGGCCTCGTTCCAACACGTGGATGACATCAAATAAATTTATTGCATTTCGAAGATTGCTTGACAGAATTTATCTCAATTTATATCGCGAAGGAATCATTATTCAATTTTTTTCTGAACGTGATTATAAAATTAACCGCTGCTTTATTTGAGCGAACATTTCAACAAAATATTGCTGAAAGCTTTTCTTGCGATATTCGTACGACGACCTCGATTATAAAAATAATTGTATGCATACGCGTAGGTGCACGCGCATTAAGAACGACTTTTTTCGTGAAGAAAAAAGAAACACATAAAAATCAGATGCAGCCCCCATTTCACAAGAATTGAAAACTTCTGCAAATCTCGTTCTCAGAGCAATATATATGTGTTCAAAATTAGAAACCGGTCGAGGATTTTTGAGGCGATTATAACATGCTCATGAAAAGAAATTCTCTCTTCTGGTTGCAATTTACGTGTTAAGGACACATTGATCGATGCAATGCAAATCTCAAGATTTAAATTTTATTTTTCGCAAAACTTTTTATCACATTCTTCGGTTTGGCCGATAATTTAAAGTAATGTTTTTTTAAAATGTGACATTTGTACAGATGCAAACCAAACAGAATAGTAATGCTAAATGCCGCAAAAAATACCGGTGTTTTTATTGTTGCTGTGCGTTGAAAATTGTTATACGGAGATACTTATTGTCAATATAGATAATAATGATAAGATGTTATGTATGTCGCGCAAAGATCTATATTTTATACCCAGTATATTTTAAAAACAGGTTTTCAATATTTACTTGAGCATCAACAGTTTATAATTGTTTGTGTGAACATTTTAATACTATTTTATACACTATTATTTTGCCAATTTTTAAAAATTGAAAGTTGAAAAAAGAAAATTTTATTAAAATAACTTAGATCTCATTTATAATTATTTTTTAAAATAATTTGCATTAATTTCCTGAAAATTATTATATGCCATTAGAAATTATAGTTTTCTTTTTCAATTAAATTTTTTGTTTCAAATGTTTTGAATTGTTTTTGTGAATGAAAATCGAGAAGAGTGTAGACGTCGAACTTTCCCCAGTCTTAGAAAGGCAGATGCAACCAAGCGTGTCTCGAGAGAAATATACGCATCTCAATAGCAATGGTCTTTGACGAATAGAGATTGGCGAATTGCCCTAATGCGATTGAAATGCATCTCTCACACGTTCTTTATAGTGATTAAAAAAGACAATTTAAAATTGCATGATAATGCTTTGACAATTCGAGATGAGTCGATTTTCGAGAGTTCTGTTTATTCTAAAACAGTTCTCTTATGTAGCATTGAGTGTATCCTTGCATTCTTTAACTTAATGCGGCAGAACTGGTTTCAAAACCATTATTAAATAAAGAATTCTCTAGAACTCTTCTAAGTGTATTCAGATCTTAAAAAAATAATTTTCTTAAAAGATGAAGTGCCGATTTCACAGAAGTATTTTATATCTATATTTTTTATTTCTATATTTTTGGGGATTGCTTTTTGAAATTGTTATTTATTTTAAAATAGTTTTTACATAGTAGAGTGTATTTATGTCTTTTTAAAAGAATTATAACCATAAGTAATATTAAAACAT